CTTTTTTTGTACTTGTACTTTTTTTTTTTGCACTTGACACCTATTTCCATCCTGAGTAACTACTGTACAAGTTTACATACTTCAGGAGACACTGTTGTTTAATCCAGAATTTCCCACATTTACTTGACCATAAGAGCTCTTTTTTTGTACTTGTACTTTTTTTTTTTTGCACTTGACACCTATTTCCATCCTGAGTAACTACTGTACAAGTTTACATACTTCAGGAGACACTGCCTAGGCCAGGGCCCCTGTAGCTAGGCAGCGGAAGATAGGAATGTGGGGTGGTGACAGAAATCCCCATGGGAGTGAACTCTGGCTGGACAAGGTGGTGACAGCAACCAAGGAAAAGCAGCCTGCTGTCAGGAGAGTCAACAGATCCTGACATAGGATCATAAAGAATCAGCCAGTGATACCAGCTCACTGGCCAGCTAACCTCTGCGCAGACAGGGTTACTATACCAACAAACCAGTGACATAGATGTGAGGCACTAACCAGTCTGTGGGATAGATCAACCCAAAGAATATATGAGCACATGCCTGGCATTACACTTCTATTGTCCAAAAAGCTTATTTGAGGGAAGGTCTTGTGTGTCAGATTACAATCTATATTGTACGTAAAGCAGCTCTCAACCTTCTCTTTTCGTTTCAAGTTTAGGATTCTGGTTCATGACCCCTTGCTCCCAGTCACCCAGTACTTATGATTCACAAGGCACATGGACACCTGTCTTCCTCCATCCCTGGGAAGGCAAGATTTCAAGAGGTGGCAGAGCCCCGAGTGGAAACCCTGGCTTCTATCTTTTCCATGTTCCTTCCTCTCCTCTTGTGGAATCCAAATAATTCTAACTTTCTAGAACAGTCCTCATCTCAGATGTCCTATTATCTTTCCCAAACTATCAAAACATCCCAGAAATCATGCTTCATGACCCAACTCATCCTTCCATTCTGGAAGTGGGCACAAAGATCTTTTTCCATTTTGCTTTGTTTGGCTCAAATGTCTTTGGGTAAACAGACTTTATAACAGATCATGAGATTGTCAGGAAATTTTCAACAATTATTTGGAAAAGCTATACATGGCAACAAGATATGCTAAATAGTTCTTATCCATCCAGATCAAAACAAATATATGAGACTAGAACAAAAAAATGTTCTTTCCAAGTGAAAGAAAACCTTCTGAAGGCAATTTAGCACAGAAATCACTGTCACTAATACGGCAAGTGTGTAATGTGGCGAAGAGCAACTGCATCTGCAAATGGACAGACACACACACACACAATCTAAAACGGCAGACAAACGCAATGAATCATTTATTTTTGGCTTTGAGCTCTATTTCTCTACTTTCAGTTTGTAGCCTCAAAGAGACAATCTCTCTTCAAAATAATAAAACTGTTTTTGGACAGCCATACTACTGCATTCCTCCCACACTCCCTCCTCCCTGCCCAGGCTCAGTAACAGTTTCGGAGCGAGGGCTCCTCTTTCTGATCCCTGCAAACCATCAGCCCAGCAAGGAGGCTGTCTCTAAAGTTTGCAGGCTTTCAGGAAGTTTCAACTATATTACTATATTCAGTTATTCAGCTTTAACTGTTAAACATGTGCCAGAAAGAACATGGGGAAGAGAGGTTCTCATAGCACTATTCCAGTGGTTCTCACTCAGGGGTGGTTCTGCCTTCCCCAGGGACATCAGGCACTCTCTGGAGATGTTTCTGGGTGGCACAGCTGGGGTAGAGGGTACCACTGGTATCTTGTAGGTAGAGGCCACGGATACTGCCGACAGTCTGAGGTGCACAGGACAGCCCCCCAAACAAAGGATTATCTGGTCCAAAATGTCCAGAGAACCAAAGCGAGAAAACACTGGGTTACATTAGCAAGGCACACAGGAGAATGACACATGAGTGCTGCCAATAAACCTGAACGAGGCTCGGCGCCTATAGCTCAACCGGCTAAGGCGCCAGCCACGTACACCTAAGGTGGCGGGTTCGAATCCCCAGCCCGGACCCGCCAAACAACAATGACGGCTGCAACCAAAAAATAGCCGGGCGTTGTGGCGGGCGCCTGTGGTCCCAGCTACTTGGGAGGTGGAGGCAGGAGACTCGCTTGAGCCCAGGAGTTGGAGGTTGCTGTGAGCTGTAATGCCACGGCACTCTACCTAGGGGGACAGCTTGAGGCTCTGTCTCAAAAAAAAAAAAACCTGAACGAAATAATCACAAAAAGTAACTGCATGACAGGCATACCAGATTCCAACACAGAAAGATAATCTGGACACCCCAGCTGACTGCCACACTGTAAAACTGTTAAACTTAAGCAGCAACAGCTGGCTTTCAAATCTGTTAATGAACATGGATAACCAGGAATGTACTGGATTAAAGGATAACAGTAATCCATCATCCTAAAATATCATTTTGTTATCTGAGAACACAAAATAGTACGGTAGAACCGGTATTACGGTCTCTCTCTTTTTTAAAAAATGGAAGCAGCAAATATTTAAACTGTAAAAATAAACAGAAGGTAGCAGGGGGAACTAAATCAAATGTGAACACTGAGGAGGAGCTCAGAAACGGGGATGACTTCACATGCCCAAGGCTGGCCACGGTAATTCCCTGGGGGTTTATGGTGACATAAGGTCAGTCCAGAAGTGGGCATTTCTAGATGGCCACCAGGGTTCCAATGACAGAATACCACAGGGTTGGTGAAAACCTGTATTCTTTTAGTGAGCTATGTCACAAGATTTGTCCACACCCAACAAAATTTAAATAGTGGATTTCAAGAGATGCAGTGGTATTTGAGAAAGTGGTTCCTGAAGTCAGATACATACTAGCTCTTTTGCACGAGACTCAAGGACTGTCCTTATCATCAGCTTGTAGAGATCTGAAAAAATGCTGCAGGTCACAGAAAAAATAGTAACTCAAGTGAGAAGCGTCTTTACGCAATGCAGCAAGGAAATGGAGGTGCGCAAATGTCAAAAAGCAAAGATACTGAAAATGTGAAATGCTTCTAACTTTATAGAAAATTTAAAAATTGTGAAAACCAAATCAGAGGCCATTCCAAGTCTTTTGCCTTAGACCTGGAGGCTATTTATTATTTCACATGATCTACTGCAGAATTAATAAAGTTTTAGAAGTAGAAAAAAAAAAAAAACTAACCTTAAGGTTATCAAAGGTTCTGACAGTCTGCGCCAGGTCACTGGCACTCCCTGACGACGCTGTCCCCTGTCCCCTAGGGCCTGAGGACACCTGTGAGCCGTCAATGACCTCAAAGCCAGAAAGCAAGGCCTCTGCACAGCTGCAGCGAGACTCCTTGGCTCTCTGACCCGATATCAGGTATGTCTTCAAACCTACGATGGATAAAAATTACAATCAGCACAAAGTGAAACCACCGTTTGTTGACACACAGCTCAATCTTGCCCTCTATGGAGGACGCGCTCTGGAAAGTTGAGAGTGAGAATGTGAATATCTTATATTTTATGACTGACTTCCATGATCTTCTCAGAGAGCTGTAGCTGCAGGGAGACCATTTGCCTCCAAGACACACCATTTTTTACTCACAGTACATTTTCTTCGAATAACAGATGCATGTTTTACCGTTAGGGCTAAATGAACATTGACAAGTTCCTCTGTGGAAGGGGCACATGACCTGTCTGTGAAGGCAGCAGAGCAGACTGATGGTCAGCTCTACACACTGCTTGGGTTTATTTCGACCTGTAAACACCAGTCCCTGATATTTATAACTGTCAGTCTAGATGTAAGTGTGACCTCATATTCTGATCATCTTACCTGTTTCAGACACCGCAAAACTACCACAAAGAAGTAAGACCACATCATGGATCAACAGAGGTAATTAAAACCTCCCTTGACTCAGACTTGGGGAGTATCTATTTTCTACTGGATCTGAGCATTCACTCTGGGAACATTTAGCTTTTGTCAAGCTGAGGTCCACATGTACCTTATATTCTCTCACAAAATCTCCATTTTGAAAAAGAGTTGGTAAAATGGACCATTATCCTGTACCTCTGCAATTCTCACTAAAGGCTGAAAAGGCACATTGATGCCTGCTACACTGCTTAGCAGCTGTTAACAGGCAGGAGGGTCCGTGCTCTGTGTATTCAGAACTATCTGCCTGGAAGACACTAAAGAGCAGCTTTTCCAGAAGATCTCAAGGAATTTTTTAAAAGGAAGCAAACTTTATTTAAGGAATGCCATTATTAGTCCTTACTGGAATTTAACCAGACAGCAAATGTATCAGAAGGAATGACAATGTAATTTATTTAAGAAACATTTATTTCAGGCCTGGTATATGCTATACACAGAATAAAATCATGAGCAAAACAGGATCCTTATCTTGGAGTTTAGCTTCCAGCAGAAGGTCATGATGAAGGCCACAGGAAGGTGTGGCATGGAAAGAATCAATCAAGAGGTGATATTAGGTCTACACCAGATTCCAGTGAAGTAGTGTATACTGGGTGTACATTTAGTAAGTGCTTTAACATTAATCAAATGACCCTTGATCATTTCATAGGCACACCACCATTTCATCACTTAATCTTTCTTAATCTTTTTTTTTTCTTTAGAGATAGGCATCTTACTCTTGGTCAGGCTGGTCTCACTCCAAGTCTTGAGTTCAAACAATCTGCCTGCCTCAGCCTCCCAGAGTGCTAGGATTATACGCATCAGCCACTGTGCCCTGCCTCATCCCTTAATCCTTCATCTCCCTCTCCACTCATAAAAATACTATATGGCATATCTTTTTAAATCAGCTTGGTCTGAGAATTTGGCAAGAGTCCTGGAGACACCTAAGGACATACCAGAATATAGTGAAATCACAGTGGCAAATCAAAAGACTTAGATATTTATAGATGCCAGCTGACCCCAAAGGATATCTTTAAATCCTCAGTCTTACTAAGGTCCGGAATTTCTCTGCATTTTTTTCTCTAACAAAAACAGACATCCCAATTTAGGTACAGGATCAATCCCAGTTTTAACTAACTACATGTACAAACTTGAAATGTAAATGTGACTTGGAATATAATGTAAGTGCAAAAGCATCCTTAAATTAATTTCTCCGACTACCACAGGTGACAGTAAGCTAATTTTGTCATCTCACTTTGGGAGAGTCAAAAAAATGTAACCTATGTAGACAGAACAGAGAACAGTGCTACTTCTAACCTGTCTGGGGTCTCTGAGCTGGCAGGGTTTATTCCCAGCCTCATCAAAGTGCATGAGAAGTCCTGTCCCTGAGTGATGCTCTCAGGGTCTCCTCCCCATGACTCCCGAGGGGTCTAGGAGGGCCTTTGGAGCTGTAGAGCCACGCCTTGCCCCCCCCCCCCCCCAGGGACTAGAGGCAGAATACTTTGTTGATTGGAAGGATAAAGGGCTGCTGTTGAAGGGAGAGGTTCTGTCTGTGGCCAGCCCTGACCACACAGTAATGATCCCTGCAAGATGCCAGTAGCCTAGGAGCCCCTGCTGGAGGTTCCCACCCCCTACAGACCAGGGCTGTGCTGGGAGCTAGACTGCCTTTCAAATCCAGGAAGTGTCTTTTGTGGAGGTAACTGTTTTATCTGCTCTCCCAGTGGCTCCAGCACTGCAAGAGAAAGTGAGTCCTTCCTGGAGGCATGAAACAACCGAAGCAGAAAAAAGGCTTAGCATGGAGACCCGAAGAGCCTCAGGTAATGACCAGCACAGTCCTTGGCAGGGAGGTCAAAGGACCGTGTCAGTGTGATCAAGCCCAGTGTGACGCTGGTCACCTGAAGAGGTGCTAGACAACACAACATGCAGGTATGACTGTGTCAGGCACACCAAGTCCCAGGATATACGAGACAGAGGGACCTCCCAAAGATGCAGGCTACATGTGGGGCTACATGTGAAAGTGCCCCCTCCATCAGGTGTTACTGATGTGATAGCATTTAGAGGTAGGACTGGCTGGGCGCAGTGGCTCATGCCTATAATCCTAGCACTCTGAGAGGCTAAGAGGACTGCCTGAGCTTAGGAGTTCAAGACCAGCCCACTCTCCTACCACATGAGCACTCTGCCTTCTTCCCCTCTGGCAGGCACAGTCCTCACCAGACAATGGAAACTGCTGGTACCTTGATCTTGGAGTTCCCAGCCTTCAGAACTGTGAGAAGCTAAATCTCTGTTCTTTAGAGACTACCCAGTCTGCAGCAGTCTGTTATCACAGCATAAAGAGACAAAGATAGAAGGCCCCCAGGATGAAGTGCCCTCCAAGTCAAGGAGATGAAGCAAAGTCAGCCCAGTGACAGCACACAGGACCAAAGGCAGGGCGGCCAGAAGTGGGCAGTGGGCGTTACGAGAACAGTCTGCAAAAGGCGCTCAGAAAAGGAGCCTTCGGAAGGCAGGGCTGGGGGACAGCACTGAGCTCAGCATGGCTGGGACAGAGAATGGCCAGAGGTGAGCCCATTTGTGCAGGGCACCACCTGGGTGACATCCAGGAGCCTTCATCTTCAGGGGGTGAGTGAGAACGGACAAATAGCAAATGCCAGACATGGCAGATGGTGAGTTGGAGAACACTAAGTCAGGAAATAATCGTGGAAATGGGAAGCCTATTCCCCCCAAATTTGGTGGAAATGGCAATGCCTCTGTAAGAGGCAGTGGAGTGTGATGAGCCAGAACCTGGCTTCTGGTTCCATCACCTCCTGTGTGCGACCTAAGCAAGCTGCTTCATCGCTGCATCTCAGTTCCTCATCCCAGAGGGTTGGCGTCAGCCTCAAATGATTAACACACTCACAGCCTGTACAACGGCACCCAGCGCACAGTAAGCAGGCAGTAATGTTAGCTATTATTATCATCTGGGATTTTTTCCATGTTCCTTCTAAGGTGTAAAAGCATGTGCAGAACTGTTAAATCAACAATTGTTGCCAATTTATTTTTAACTTCTATTTTTCTTCAGCAAGCTCTGAATGACCAACTTGTAGTGATAATACACCACCACTAGCACTACAAAGGTCAGACTTAACTACCTGTGTCCACAGCAAGCATGAGGGGTGAATAAACTAAGTATCTCTTTTATTTTGGCTTCAATATGTTAAGCTAACTTCAAAATGAAACCTTTTGGGGTGGTGCTCAGTGGGTAGGGCACTGGCCCCATAAACCAAGGGTGGCAGGTTCGAACCCAGCCCCAGCCAGCTAAAACAGCAATGAGAATTCCAACAAAAAATAGTCGGGCGTTGTGGTGGGTACCTGTAGTCCCAGCTAACTGGGGAGGCTGAGGCAAGAGAATCACTTAAGCCCAAGAGTTGGAGGTTGCTGTGAGCTGTGACACTACAGTACTCTACCAAGGGTGACAAAGTGAGACTCTATCTCAAAAAAGAAAACTTTTGTCCAAACTAGAGGGACATCCCTGTGAGAAAGTGCAGTGAATCACTGCTGGATAGGAAATCCCTTGAGAGACTTATCAGGACAGGCTTCTGAGCTCAAGCCCTGTCAAAGTCTAAAGTCAAGAGAGCTTGTAAGAGGTAGGATTTAATGAATAACCACACACATGGACCCTGAGGTCCAAGTTCATTAGAATGGCTCTTTTGGAGCAGAAGGTCAAAAATAAGGCAGCTAAATGATTTAAGTACAATGTAAACAGGAGAATAATTAATAAGATTTCTTACTTTTTTTCCTGGTAATTGATTTTAAATCTCACTAACACTGATGTCTCCCTCTTCTCATCTTCGTTTTATTACATAAATGCCACAGAGAGGGGGAGGAATTTCCTAACATGCTCTTACCTGATAGAGGAATTTGTCTAGGGCTGCCTCTGTGTTGTGGTTACCATGGTTAATGTGCTTAAATATTCTTAACTATATCACCAATTCTTTGAGAACAACAACGGTGCTTTGCACAAAGCAGTGATCTGTCTGGTGAACTAAGTGTAATATGAGGGAGTGCTGGCCACATGCACCAAGGCTGGCAGGTTCGAGCCCAGCCCGGTCTGCTAAACAACAATGACAAGTGCAACCAAAAAACAGTTGGGCATTGTGGCAGGCACCTATAGTTCCAGCTACTTCAGAGGCTGAGGCAAGAGAATCGCTTAAGCCCAAGAGCTTGAGGATGCTGTGAGCTATAATGCCACAGCACCCTACCCAAGGTGACATAGTGAGACTCTGTCTCCAAAAAAAAAAAAATAAAATAAAATAAAATAAAAAAATATATATATATAATATATATGAGGGAGTGACAAGGTTCATTCTAGAAAAGAAAGATGATTCCAGCCTCATTTGTAATTTTGTTCTTTTTCTTTGGAACTTTTGCTTTGGACTGAGATACCTCCAATCATCAAGAATCAAGGACTTGGGTGGCTCCTGTGGCTCAAAGGAGTAGGGTGCTGGCCCCATAT